TATGCCCGGAATTGCGGGAGGTAGTATGATGTAAGTGAAATTTTTTTTTTGTTGCACTACTTATGATTGCCAGTGTAGTAGATCTGAGGGTGAAATTTATCCTACTGAACCGTTTATATACTAGGGCGGTCAAGAATTTATAATTTCATTTATTCTATTCTTTGCGCAAAAGAAGAGCAAAATAGATCAATACAAAATATATATAAGAAATTTAATTGAATTTTACCGCAATGGTCACGTTATAAATTAATAATTTGAAATTAAACTTTACCAATTTAGGACAATTGCAAGTTGACACAATTTTTTGTATTATTTTTATAAAATACACGCTTGGCAGAAATAATGGAAAAAATTAGATTATTGCTATTGCAAACTGTTTTTATGTTCGCATCAGAAATGAAATCGATTCTGTCAAATAAATTTTTCTTTACTGAACTATATGAGATTAACTACTTTTCGGAATTTGAAATGTTTTTCTTGAGCAAAATAAGATTTTTTTCATGGCTAACAACATTGAAAATGTATTTATTAGTAAAATAATGCACGGTATATATCTAATTATTCAGAATTTTTATCAGCGCTCTAAACAGTTGGAACAACGTTACATCAGACTGGTATAACTTTATCATTATTTGATTTGATCAAGCGAACACTACATATATTATTGGAAAATTTTTAATTGAATTCTTCTATAAATGCACGTCCTGAAGCTATTTCTAGCAATCTACACTTATTGAAATCTTAAGTGTTTATATATATATGTTTTTTTTTCTATATGGTTTTCCCAAAACTGTCAGTCTTCATTTTCTTTGTGTCTCTCGTGACAATTTCACTTGGCCATCCGCAATCTCGCTCTTCTTTTAACAAACGTTTCGACGCAAAATTCAATCACGTCCTGCTCATTTCAATTGATGGCCTCCATCAAAAGGATGTAGACGTGTTTACAAAGGACAATCCGGGTTGTACGCTTGCAACAATTCTTAAAAATGCCGTATATTTCACGAACGTACAGGATTCCTTCCCAACTGATTCTTTCCCAGGTCTTATGGCTCAAGTAACTGGTGGTAAACCTGCGACCACCGGTGTTTGTATGATGATTCTTGGTAAGTGATCAATAATGCAAAATAATAAAAAACAATATTTATCTTGTTTTGAATGTTTACATATCTTTGAATTCTATTTTACTTCTAGGGATAGTACTTTTTATACCGCCGGATCCAATTGTACTGGCACGCCTGGTTTGAATGTGCTTGGGATGAGTCGCTTGATACAGACGTGACTAAACTTAACACAACCCTTAATGAAACTGCATTTCCAGAACAACTTAAAGATGGTAAATGTGTAAAAGTTCATCCATACGACTATCTTCGTGTTAATACTATTTTTGAGGTCGCTAAGCAGCATGGTCTTACAACTGCTTGGGTTGATAAAGAACCAGCATACACGATTGTCAATGGTCCATCCGGGAAGGGTGTTGATGATTTTTGGGGACCAGAAATTTCTAGTATCAACAGTACTGATGTTACACAGGTTAAACAATATGATGGTAATCATACTCAAGCCATACTCAATTGGATAAATGGTATAAGGACTGATGGTACTCCTTTCAAGGTTCCTAATATTTTCGGTGGTAATTTCCAGACTGTTAGTGTGGCCCAAAAGTCACCTGCTGGTGGTTATAAGAATGCCAATGCTAATCCGACTGATGTTCTTGAGGGTGCTTTTAAATATGTTGATGGCATTCTTGAAAAATTTCTCAATGAATTAAAAAAAGAAACTTGGAAAATGATACACTCATCATTATTTCTGCAAAGCATGGTCAATCTCCTATAGATCCAAAGTTACTTCAGAGAATTGATCCAGACTTTTTGTCGAACCAAGTCGGAAGCGACAAAATTAATCATTTAACAACCGATGATGTTGCACTTTTATGGTTGAAAGATCATAGCGATTCAAAAGCCGCAGCAGAAAGTCTTATGAATAACAAAACTCTCGCTATTACAGAAGTATTTGAAGGCGATTCTCTCCAGTCAGAATTTGGACGTGATCCCGATATTGCTATCAAAGTTAACCCTGGTGTTATTTATTCCCTTTCAACAGCAAAGATTGCCGAACATGGCGGCTTCAACGAAGATTATCACGTTCCAATTATAGTTTACAACCCCTGTATTGACGGAAAAGTTAATACTGACAATGTTGAAACCCGCTCGATCGCACCTTTTATTCTTTCTGTCCTTGGATTGGATGGGAATGAGTTGGAGGCAGTTGCTAAAGAGGAAACACCCACTCTCCCGGTTTTTTGATGAATAATGGTCATTAGTAATAATAAACAAATACTGTACATTCTTTACAGTATAATCACTGTTTAAATACGATTATTTAGTTACATATATACTGTATTTTATTTATTCATATTAATTTATTTTTATTACAGTATTTTATTTATTTCTATTAATTTAGTTTTATTACTGCATTTTTTTGCATTAACATTCAATATATTTCGTTTGTTTTAATACTGTACCAATAATTTATTTACAATATTGTAATAGAAACGTTTAATATAGTTACATTTATTACTCGGAGCGTAGTGGAATTTCTACATCCTAGGCACGTTAGATAAATACGCCTAGTAATAACTAGTCAGTATATTCTTGTTTGTACCCATATGTTATAAGAAAATATTAATAATATTATAAAAGCTCTATAACAATATCTACTTAATTTAAGTGTATTCAGTTAATAAATTTTTCATAAAATTTTAGTTTTATTATTCAGTAGCTTCTTAGTTTCATTAATTTTTTACTAATGTTCTACTCTAGAATCAGATGTTAATGTGAACTAGGGATTTTTTAATTATCGTTATGATTTTTTTAAAACAATAAATTTGATAAATTTTTTTAAAAATGTTGTAGTTCTTGATGTAAACTCTAGTTAAATTTCAGAATACTTGGCTATAATTTAGTAGCTAGTTATTTCATAACAATTCTTAAATTTGCATCTCATTGCTAAGTTTTATTAGTTATATCACCTTTATAGCATATATTAGACACTTTGTATTCACACATACATTGAAAATTTGATTATTTTCCTCATAGCAGGGAATAATGATACCATTCTTCTGTTTTAATAATTGTTAGCCGGATGCTGTTTACCTCTGAATTTGAATTAAAGTTGTTCCTGAAATATGAGTGAAAACGGAGAATAACGTACGTACATGTATTGTATAAAAAATTTATTCAGTACTGTAAATATAGTCTCTGATCGTGAAAACTGGGGGTCTTAATTTAAAAATATAAACCCTACTAAAACCCACTTACAGTCGACTCTTGATATACCGAACTGCATGTTCCGGAAATTCGTTGTATAATTTACCCTCTCTATACCTATCGAACAGTTCGGTATAGAGTTAATCTGCTCATAAATGGGGTTTTCAGAAAATTTCGGAACTTTACAAAAATTTTGTCTTGTCCTTGCTCATTATTCATTTTCTTCACGGAATATTTCGGATCTCATGATTTCGCAGGTATGTACTGTACATTCGCAAAGTCATATAATTGTTTGTTATACTGCATATATATATATATATAGCCCTGGCCAAGGACAGTGAAAAATATTGATTTGCTTTTTAAAAAATATCGATCGGTATGGTAAAAAATATCGATTTGCTTTTTAAAAAATATCGATCGACATGGCAAAAAATATCGATTACATCGAATTGACCAATTTATATCATTACTGAACCTACCAGCCAATCAAAATACAGGATTGGAAATAACGTGACCAAGATGTTTCATGAAACCAAGTTGATTTATTGATTATAACATATAATCGTAAGAGCATGAAGTAATTCTTTGTTAGGATTTTGTCCACTATTGCCTAAAACTTTAATAGACCAATGTCAGTAATGTACGACCAGAATATATTTCTTTGATTTTTTTTTAAAAAAAATTTATACTATTACGATTTCTTAAATTTCTAAATTTAAATTCTTAATTTCGGCCAGCACTATGACAACTCTGGCCATAAATCCACATACCATTACACTGCATATAAAGTCGTCGATTTGACCACAATTTTGCCTAAAAATATCGATTTGCATATAATCAACATAAATCGATATTTTTCACTGTCCCTGCCCTGGGCTGATGAAAAGGAGTTCGGATGCGGTATATAAAAATTTACCATTTGAGTTCGGTGTAGTCAGTCTAAATTATTATAAAAAAATCCGTTCTGCCCAATCTGGTTCGGTATATCCTATTTGGTTTAGGCAGGTTCGGATTATCCAGAGTCAACTGTATACTCTTTTATTATAAACCCTAACCCTAATCCTAGTCCAAATTTAAAAAAACGCCTAAAAAAATGTACCCTAAAAATTTTTAAAAATCGTATATCATCCGTGACAAATATTTTTATAAATTATCTTTATAAACAAATATCTGTTTGATATTTTTTTACTACATTGTGCTGCTTGTACTAATCCTAGTATGTAAATATTACAAAGTACTGCAAATATTACTTGTAAATTATGTTTTTATAAACAAAACCTAGTTTGTAAACACTACAAAGTAATATACGTATGATTCAAATGAACTTTTTCAACTCGGCTATAATTATGGATACGGTATAGGTATTGAAAAAGATATAAAGAAAGCTCTTAAATATTATATGAAAGCCGTTGGGTTAGAAACGCAAGTGCAATTAATAAAGTTCGGAATTGAAATGAAAGCCTTTAAATAGTATATGAGAGCTACTGAATTAAGAAACGCAGCTGCGACTTGTAACGTATGTTATTGTTATCAAAATGGAATCAGAGTAGAAAAGAATGAAATAAGGTTTTCAAATATTATAAAAAAGCGCAGATATGAGTGATGTTAATGCAATATTGGAGTCGTAGTTGTTATCGTCATGGAATTGGGGTCTAAAAAAATCATCAGGGTCATATTAAAGCAAAGAGTAGTGCTAGTGCATGTTATCGTGAAGGAACTGGAGTAGAAAAGGATTATAATAAAGCATTTGAATATTATAAGAAATCTGCTGATATAGGTCAAATAAATAGTATGTATAATGTTGCAAATTGTTATCGTAATGATATTGGAGTGCAGAGGGATATTCAGAGTGCAAATCACTGGTATAGAAAATATAGAAAACTTTCGGAACTAATTTGAAATGTAATAAATCACATAATATTGATTCGCTCCTTAAAAAAGTATCAGACGCTAAATATAAATTGTCTTGGATCTATTACGGTGAATTTAAAAACATAAATGAGATTGGAAAAGGCGATTTTGCAGAAGTATATTATGCACTTCGGCATGATAGAATTAATAATAGCTGGAAAGCTGCTGCACTCAAAGAGATTCGTTGGTTGAGAGATAAAGTTAAAGACTTTGTTAAAGTGCTGAAGAATTATTGTGAAATTGGATATGAGAATCCATCTTTTTTACAATGTATTGGTGTATCTAAAAATAATGATTATATAATGGTAATGAGATATGTAGGTAAAGGGCATTACCAGTGATGGAAATCTCATGTTCTCATGTTCTCATACTTTAAATTTGAGAACATTAGATATTCGGTAAATGTTCTCTATGAAAAAAAAATTGAGAACGTAATACTCAAAATATGTTCTCTATAAGTATTATAAATATAATAGCATAATGGCAGATGGAAATAAAATTAGAAATCGAACGAAGTTCCGAAATCATCCGAGAAGAAATGAATGAACATAAAAAACGAGAAGGGTTGGGCAAAAATTTGAATAAATGACCGATATTTTCCGAAATAAGAAAGTTAAAAAAATAGTGATATAAATAAATTTTATTGTTTAGAACATAAATAAATATTTGAGAACATTAAGTTAAATAAATTTGTTCTCATAAGAACATAAATTTCAAAACAGATTTCCAACACTGGTCATTACGTCAGAATCTTGAGCAATATCAAAGATGAGTTGGAAAAATAAATTGAATATCGATTCATTCGTTCATAATGATCTACACACCGGGAACATTTTGCAAATTGAACTAGAAAATTCTTACGTCACAGATCTTGGTCTTACAGGAGAAAAAAAGATGGAAGAATTTATGGAGTTATGCCCTATATAGCTCTTGATGTTCTACTAGGTCAATCATATACGAAATCATCAGATATTTACAGTCTTGGGATCATTATGACAGAAATATCAACTGGAAGAAGAGCTTTTCCCTTTGATACTAACCTTCAATTTAAGATCATTTACAGAGCATGACATGTATGTACTCATGCTCCAGAATTTTATGTTAAATTCACCAATAGTTGCACGGATAATGATCCTGATAAACGATCAACTGCTACTATAATTGTTAACAAAGTGAAATATGAAATGAATCAAGATGACAACAAAATTAAAAATCAAATTTTAGAATGTGATGGGTTAAACCAGAACCAGTCGAACCAAAACGTCCGAATTGTTATTTTTCTAGTAAATTAATAAATACAAACCTAATGGATAGTACATAATTAATAAATACAAATCAAATATATAGTAAATTTCAAGATTTAAAAATTGAATAATTCAACTGACATTATAATTTCGATAGCATTATTTCATAATTCTAGACGATTACAGTCTGACCTCTCTATAATCAGCAAGTTGGTCTCGCGCCCTAATTTGGTGATTATATAAAGGTTTGATTATAAATTTTAAACCTCTAAATAATCACCTTTATAATAAAAATTATAAATACAGAAATACAGAGAACCCTCCCTAAGTGCACCCCCTTGGGACCATAAGCAAAAATTTCAAAAATATGCATTTAGAAATGGTGTGCATTTATAGAAGGCATTTTATTAAGAGTTCTATATGCTTGGGACTAAATATTAATTTGTATTTAGAGAGGGTATACATAGTCTGTGCATTTATAGGGTGCACTTGGGGAGGGTTCTTTGTAGTAACTATAAAATAAAAAATTAAAATTTTAATAATATCGAACAAATTAATATGCATATTAAATTAAGCTTAATTTAAGTATATTTTTAGAATTCTAATCTGAATAAATCTATTATCTATTTATCTATATCTAATATCTAAATAATCGTAAATGAATATCTAAATAAATGTTTAATAAATTGGAACTCTAATATTTTTTATGTATTCCCTATAAAAGTATGATGTATTTTTTGCTTAATTAAATACTTAAGCAGGGTTGTGAATAGATATAGTCTAATCATAAATATCATTGTCTAATTGGCTAATAGTCTAATTGTCTAATTATCTAATGTCTATTCAATTTGGTTGAGAATAGACAATGTTTATTTAAATAAAAAATTTAATTGACAATATATCTATTCATAATTTGTCTATTTGCTTATTAGTTTAATCAATTTATAATTCCAAATTATAATAATACCAGAGAAGTCAGATGTATGATTAGCTATTAATTAAAATAAAAATTTATAAAGTAATTTAAAAGAAGTATAAAAAGTTTAAGATATAATTGAATATATTAATAATGAGTAATTATATAATAATTTGCAACCTTGCTAATAACAAGATAAATGTATTTTGATATTACTATTTTAGTTTGTGCTTCAGATAAGTTGTATATTTCAGATTCAACATTAGTTACTTCAGACAAACTAGGTTTTTTAAAATGTTTGCTATAGACAAAAAAGCCAAAGATTTCTATAATTTTCAATACAGTTTCAACAAATATTAATTAAAACTTCATTGTTTAGAATTATAAGTTTACTAAAATACACCACTAGTGTTCAATATAAGTGCCGATTTTCGATCTGCTGATCAGTATGCATATGTTCCATTACACAAAAATTGTAATACTATAATGATATCATATATCGATATTGTATTAGAAATAAATAGTTGATTTCCTCGTGATCATACCTTCTTCTCTTTTTGCTGTGCAACACATAAGTTATCAAATAATTTGTATATTCTTGCAAAGCTACTTTCTTTGCAACCTAAGCTAATTAAAAGAAATGCAAATCACATATTAAGGTATAGATTCTTACTGCTAAATAATAAAAAGATCATATTATTTTTTAAGCTTTGCTGTTACGGGATACATATGTTACTATTTTTCTTATTATTGCTTTGCTGTTACATGATACATATCTTAATTTTTATTATTTTATTTTTTCAGCAAACTGAACCACCAAAAGGAACCCAATTATGTATTAAGATATAAATTCTTACTGCATCTAGTTTTCCAGAAAAAGGTTAGATTTGTTTGTTTATTCGTTCATTTTTATTTTCCTTCTTTTTTTAAAAAAATTTATTAATTACTTAGCTGCCACATAATATATAGGATCAGTTAATTGTGTATTCTTTTTGAGTTAAAGAAGTTTTTTTTTTGTGAGTTTATAAAAACTCTATATACTGAATATTCAAAATATTACTGCATCCAGTTTGTTCAACATTTTTGTAATTATGTACATCTAACTAATAAACTTTGATTTATTTTTAAAAAAATATTTCTAGTCTAGCTTATTGACCAAGAGCCATTTGATTTTTTTTTTCAACGTATCATCACTTCAATATTGCACAGTGAAAAAGGTGCATAGTTATTTTCACGAACTAGATTTGTTTGAATAAACATTAAAAATTACTGCACTCAGATAAAAAATATAGAAGAAAATTATGAATGCATTACCAATTTTAGATATCAATGAATATTATCCTAAATGTGTTAATGATATGGATATTGAGCCATTACCAATTTCAGATGTTAATAAATATTTCTCGGTCGATGAATATTACCCTGAAAATGCTAAAGATGTGAATGTTGAGTCATCACTAATGTTAGATTTCAATAAATATTTCTCGTTTGATAAACTTTCCAAATACGATAACAATTTAAATGTTGAATAGCCATTGCCAAATGACTTTTCTATATAAATAAAGCTACTGAAAGTATGAAGAATGATTTAGAAACAACTCATAATATAGAAAATCAAGAAGCTATTGAAAGTATGGAGAATGATTTAGAAACAACTCATAATATAGAAAACCAAGAAAAGAATATTGGAGATGATAGAGAGATTATATATACTATTGCTATGGGGATGGATTTTAGGAATTGGGAAGGATTAGGTATTTAAATAATAAATTAGTATATTTTGGTAAGATTTTAATATGATTATTTATTAAAAATAATTTATTAGATGGCTTGACAATCATGGGAATATGAATGGTTTTGCATTTACTATAACATATAGTAAAAAGGATAAGGATAATAAAATTTCTCGCCATCGTACCTATAAATGTATGAAGAGCAGGCCACATTCTTCTTGAAAAGAAGCTCATATTACTAAAGAATGGAATCGTGGTTTTAATAATAGCAGCTGTGGATTTCATGTTAATATTTATTAATGCAAAATAGATAACAAAATCTATATAACAAAAATTGATGGTCAACACAACCATGCTCTTGCTAAAAATATTGAAATAGTCACAAATTATTATAAAAAACTTACACCTGACATGTTTAATAATATAAAGCTTCTTTCTACTTGTAAAGTATGCACTAGAGCAATCATTGAAGTTTTACAGAAAAAAAATTTGGAAAGGTATATTCATGCTTGTAATATATACAATGCAATTCAGATGAACCAGATTTAAAATGAGTCAATAAGCAATTCTAGAGCTATATACCTTGAACTCTTAAAACAACAAAACATGGATTCTACTTTTTATATTGATGCACATTTTGAAGGTTATGATAACTGCCTTACAAGATTATTTTGAATGAGCCCCAGTCAACAGCAGTTATAGGCATGATTTTATGATGTTGTTCTACTTGATTCTACTGTAAAAACGAACTGCTATTCAATGATATTGTGTGTTATCATTTTAATAGATAATCACAATCGCTCTTACTTTGTGGCGACTGCTGTCATCTCAGATGAAACAAAAGACACATATATTTGGCTATTCGAGAATATAATTAAAGCAACTAGTGGTTTAGCACCACGTTTACTCTACACGGATGCCAATCCTGCAATGATTGCAGTAGTAGGTAGTTGTTTGCTAATGACAAAGCATCATTTCTGTCTATTTTATATTCATAAAAACTTAGAGAAGCACTTTCTTAGTAAATACTGTGATAGTTGTAAAAAATTTTTTACTGACTTTTGTTATGCATAAAATAGTCGAAGTGAATTAATTTTTGAGAAAATATGGGTAAATTGTTATGCAAATATGCCAATGCCGCTAGTTATCTGAATCGTCAGCTCTATCAAAATAGAGAAGCTTGGACTCGGTGCTTTACACACCATGTATTCAATGCCAGTATGCAAAGTACACAGCATGTTGAATTATATAATAGAATAATTAAAACTCAAGTAAATAGACTATTATCTCCAGGGTTGGTATTAGACAATGTCCAAATAAATTTAATTGGACAATTGGACATTTGGACAATTGGACATAGTCCAAATGTCCAAATAATTTTTTGCACCTTCAGGCATTGGACAATATCCAAATAAATTGTAAGATTATTAGACATATATCCAAATAGTCAATTGAACATATGTCCAATTGTCTAATAATTTTATTGGGCAATTTTAATAATATGATAACAAAAGCTTTATTGCTTTTAACTACAATAATAATGTTTACTATTTTTATTTTATTTCTTATAAACGTTTTTTACTCTTTAATTTACAATGATAATTTATTAATGAATGTTTCTAATTCAAAGTGATGACCTTGGATAATTTATTTAATTTGGTGTGCTTTCTTTTATAATATGCCTTTATTTTAAAATTAAAACTAAAATCAACTGTTGTCATTATTCCTTTTGAAATACAATTTTTTACAGTTTTTAACATACTATTTGATTAATCATATTTCAATAGGGCAATACCAAGGATATATATAAACATGTTGTAAGTAAAATAGAATTTAAGTTGATTCAATAGTGTGAATACATATATATGAATGAAATTAGAGATATTTTGTATTGGTGAATATTGGCCTGAATTAAGTTTAATTTAGGCCAAGATTAAATTAATTTTTTTTAATGTCCAATAAAAAAAGTTACTATGTTCAATAAAATTATTTGGACAATTGAACATTGTCCAAATGTCCAAATGTCCAAATTGTCCAAATGTCCAATATCGCAATATGCCATCCCTGATCATCTCTTTTGGAATTAGAAAATAGTATAAAGAGATTATTAGACAGAGAAAGCCGTTTTACATGTATAAATGAAACCATTGGCCAACTTCCTGTAAACCGAGAGGAAAGTTTCTATAATAAATACTTTAATAAGGTTGATATGTCAAGTCAGAAGTTTTTAACACTAGCAATTCTGAAACTTCAACAGGATGAGATTGACTGTAGTATTTATTATCAGTACTATGTTGGCAATTTGGAAGATGAACTTGAGAAAAATGTAAGATAAAGTGTTGTGATATTAGTTATTGTTATTATAAGAATAAATAATATTGTATATTTAATATGCGAATATAATTGAATTGGAGCAGCTAATTTCTGGTATAGGATGGACAAGAATATTTGAGCTTTGGCATGTTTCTACATTGGATAAAAAAAGCACTTATTTCATTGTATTATATGATAATACTGCACATCTTTGTATTTGTTTGACCTTATTAAATCATAGACTCATATTTCATCATTTTTTTATAGTAATGCTTGTCTCAAAGACTGCAAAATTTCACATTGGGCTAGTACTATGGTATTGGTATCAAGATACATTAGTTGAAGAAGTTCCTATAATTGAGAATGAACCAGCTATCACTATAATTTTGGATGAAGAACTTAATAAATTTGAATATGCTTTTCAAATTGATTTCTTATATCTAGAAAGTATTTGTGAAAATCATATTTTTACTAGAAGTGAGATAATGTGTAGACAACAATGGGGAAAGAAATTCAGTATGTTGAAAAAGACACTTAAGGTGGTGATTATGACAAACTGATCCGAAGAACTCTATAAAATTCATTTGAAGTTTGTCAAAAAAATAGAAGAAGAACTTGAGAGTTGAAATAAGGAAAATCAGTCTATAAATAAAGATAATAGAATTCAAGAGTTGGCTTAAACCATAACTAATCCTATTAGCATTAAGACAAAAGGTAGACAACTGAGTAAGCGAATTAAAGACTTCAATAATACAACAAATATTTTGAAAGATAAAAAAACAAACTATTCTAATATGTCTTTTATGTCTTTACTATTTGATTTATTTTTATTTGCACATTATTTAATTATTATATTTGCAGAATCTAATGTTGTCAAAATTGAGTCTATAAGTGATACAGAAGAAAGTACTAGAATAAATAAGAAAAAGTGTAGAATTTGTGGTTTGAGAGGCCACAATGCGCGTACCTGTTCTGCAGAATCTGATACTGAGTTAGAATCTAATAATGATACTGAAGAAATTAGCAGGAATAAGTGAAAATGTGGAATATGTAGTTTAGAAGGTCATAATACGCAAACATGCCAAAATATAGAATAAAATGTATTTAAATAGAACCTATTATTGTGACTCAAAAAATAGGACAGCGTAAGACTATAATGCTTGACTTCGTTATGTAAATACTTAAAGTTATAAGAATTAGTATTACATGTGGTGTAAAAATAAGGATATTATTATATTACAGTAGAACTTGTATATAGTCCTACAGTAGTAACTTTAAAAAATGGTTATAGAGGTTGAATATCTATATGCATGAAATTGCTTAGAATACTTTTAACAAAATATTTTATATTGCTACGTACGGGTTCTGCTTATTTCTAATAACATTCTTTGGCGACATATCTATAATTGCCTATATATGGGGGTTGGAATCCCGTGGCCTAGTGGTCTAGACACCCAACTCTTCACGAGCAGGTTTCAGGTTCAAGTTCTAGTAGGTACGTTTACCTATGAATATTTGGAAGTATCTGCCATGGGAAGTCCAAGTGAATACAAGTCTGGATTAGGAATTTGCGGAAGGAGGTCTATTGTGGAGTAGTTGGCACTATGTATAATGATGGTTGTTACAGAAGGTTTTATTACACAAAGATTGCATGTGTAAATCTGTGATTAGCAAGGTAGCACTAACAACCCTAAGGCGGCATTGGGGATCTTGTTTGGGAGGATAACCAGATGATAACTAGAATTGGAAAGTGGTGAGAAATGTGGTGAACACAAAGGGACCTGTGGTAAAAAATTGGCCTTACCAGATCTGAAACACCTCTGGCAAATACGGAACTCTCTTGTCAATAAAAAGTTGAAGCATGGAGGCATGTACATGTCGATAGACCTAACAGGCTCTAGTCATACCTGTATGGGAGCCTTTGGCATTAAGAGGACTTGGAACCACCAATATAGGTATAGCTAGTATAAGCACATGTAGTGATAACCAGAGGCTACAACTGCTGAGAATCACCATAAAAAGAAATGATGATGCACCTGTTACCTCTGAGTCGCATGATGCTTTCCAACTATACTGACTACTGAAAGCATTTGCGAAACATGCCTGGGTAGCTTCATCACCATATTGGGAAGTATAGTCATTAGTACAAACCTAATTAGATATGTTAATACCTGGGTCCCGAAAGTCGCAGAAAATCCAGCTAGTTACAGCAGCATGCAGGCTTGAGATACTTACCCATTTGGGTAGAGGTAGCTGCATGGCTTGAGATATGAACTCCTGGAAAGTATACTAAGTAAGAATTGAGAGAGAAATTGCTCTGTCAGACATACCAAACTGGAAGCAATAAGTGCCTACTTGGTATACACCAATTTGGGAGTTGAAGATAAAAGGTTTGTGGGTAATGTGGCAGACATGTGAATACTGATTGGCAGTTGGGGA